GGATACGAATCAACAGCCAGATGAGGAGATAATCAGGGTCCCAGACAAAGTAGTTCCTGCCCTTGTGGAGTTAGGGGCCCCACAGGGTGGCAGGTGGAATCTTTCTGGTTCATCAACCTGGAGACTCCCGGAACCCCGTCCTTTGGGGGTTTTATGGAGGCTTCACTGCATAGACACAATTGATCAAATCATTGGCTGTTGATTCAGGCTCCCTGGAGGTCAGGGGGTGGGACTGAAAGTGCCAACCTTCTAATCACGTGGTCTTCTAATCACGTGGTTGTTTCTCCTGGCAACCATTCCCCCATTCTTAGGTGCCACCCTTTTTATTTTTTTAATTAAAAAAAGTTTTTTTATAGTTTATTTTTGAGACAGAGAGAGACAGAGCATGAGCAGGGGAGGGGCAGGGAGAGAGGGAGACACAGAATCTGAAACAGGCTCCAGGCTCTTAGCTGTCAGCAACAGAACCTGATGTGGGGCTCGAACCCACAAACCGCGAGATCATGACCTGAGCCGAAGTTGGACACTTAACTGACTGAGCCACCCAGGCGCCCCTCTTAGGTGCCCTCCTAAAGTCACCTCATTAATATAACAAGACACCTTTGTGGCTCTCAGCACTTAGGAAATACCAATAGTTTTTGGGCTCTGGGCCAGAAACAAGGACAAAGACCAAATCTTTCTCACTCCTACCTTCCTTCCTCCCTCCCTCCCTCCCTCCCTTCCTGTTTTTAATGTTTATATCTGAAGCAGAGAGATACAGAGCATGAGTGGGGAGGGGCAGAGAGAGAGGGAGACACAGCATCCAGAGTAGGCTCTGTCAGCACAAAGCCCGATGCAGGGCATGAACTCATAAACCACAACATCATGACCTGAGCCGAAATCAGACGCCTAAGTGACTGAGTCACCCAGGCGCCTCACTTTTTTTTTTAAATGCTTATTCATTTTGAGAAAGAGAGTGGGTGGGAGAGGGGCAGACAGAGAGAGAGAGAGAGAGAGAGAGAGAATCCTAAGCAGATTTGATGCTGTCATTGCAGAGCTCCAATCGGGGTTCAATCTCATGAACTGTGAGATCATGACCTGAGCTGAAATTAAGAGATGGATGCTTAACGGACTGAGTTGCCTGGGCACCCCTCAAATATATATTCCTTATTATAAATCACAATATCGCATCTGCCCTCCCCATATACATACATGCTGCTATGGAACCTGGTCTGGATCACCCAGTGGAAGAACCAAGCGGTACTCAGAGGTCTTGGAAGGGAAGATTTTACACCAGTAAAATCCACACCAGTGGACTCAGAGGAGATCACTCTCCAGCGGTCTGAGTCCTGAGCATAAGCAGAGGGAACAATTTATAGCCTGTTACTTCTGCATTCCTCATTAGTAGTAATTTGGCAGTGCCACAAGCAGGATGGGAAGAAGAACCCGGAAGGGGAGTCTTCGGGCAGGGACAGGAATTTTCCCTATCAGTCCTGCCAGCCATCGTATAACAGATTTTCCCTATCGCTCTCCCCCTTTTTTTTTTTTTAATGTTTTATTTATTTCTGAGAGAGAGAGAGACAGCACGAACAGGGGAGGGTCAGAGAGAGAGGGAGATACAGAATCTGAAGCAGGCTCCAGGCTCTGAGCTGGCTGTTAGCACAAAGCCCAACGCGGGGCTCGAACCCACGAACCGTGAGATCATGACCTGAGCCAAAGTCGGATGCTTAACCGACTGAGCCACCAAGGCGCCCCTATCACTCTCCCCTTTGAACAGATCTAGTCTGTATTAGAGGGCATCACCTTCACTTATTATGGACTAGTTCTCTTCCTTTAGTTTCCTGACTTTGGTTGTGACTATCCCTGACTGGTTTACAAAGTAATAGCATTCTTCTCTGAGGAAGATGTAGGTGCCCCCTTTCTCGGCAGCCAGGAGGTCAAGTTCCCATCTGTTCTGGAGGGGAACTCCTGCCAGGGAACTTATTTGGCTCTGTGGGAACACTAGGGAGTTGGCCACTCGTTAGTCCCACAGAAGAGCCTACGCCTTCTCTGCCAGTCCCTATCCCCATGGCTATTCCTGCCCCTCAGGGGATGGGTAGTAACACCCCTCGTTTAACCTGGGCCATAAGGCTGAAGGTTAATCTAAGCACCAACTTTTATCCTGAGAATTATTTAATCTCTTTTTCTTGAAGTTTGAGGCACTTACATCAGTGCAAGCATTTCCCCAAAATGTCATTAGCAACCTCCTCGCTGGCAGGCAGCCCAACAGACTCAAAGAGGTTACACCGCATTTAAGCTTTTAACCACCCCCCCCCCCATATTTTCCCACTGCAGGTGCCCTGCTCTTACAAATGGGGCCCAGATTAGAGGCAATCAATACCAACAGAACAACCTATCCGTAAGAGGAAGGTGAGTGCGAACAGAAACCTCTCGCTGTTTCCCCAGTTTTCGGGGGCAACCTCTGCCAATCCGACGGCAAGGAGTAAGGACAGTTTATTTATTTATTGGACTGGTGATTCCTCAAGCTTCTGCCGTGCGTTGACCAGTCAGCTTCTGGGGTGTGGCTGGAGCAGGGCTGAAGTTCGGACTTGGGTCAGTCTTGCAAGTCTGGACTCCTCAGGATTGAGCCTCTTGACTCTGGAGCGGTGGACCCACCGTACAGGTTCGGTCCACTCTGGTTTGAGAGGGTCTGTTTCTAGTCTTTGACCTAGACCGAAGGCCCTGGTGAGAGGAGGTGTACAGGGCATCCTAAAGAGATTGGGGCCCTCTCAAAAGGGGGGAAACCTTGAATTCCTAGTGTGCAACGGACACGCAGGAGGGCCAGGGGCAACAGAGCTGGCCGTGGGAGGTCTGTTTCCTGACAGAACTTGGCTAAGGTTCCCTTGAGGGTGTGATTCACCTGTTATACTTTTCCTGAGCTTTGAGGCTGTAAGCAGTCCGCCACGAATGCAGGCCCGTTATCGCTGTAGGTTGTGGCTGGTAAGCTGAACCGGGGCACAATTTCTTCTTTGAACTCCTGGTGGGGGCCACAGTGTAGATAAGGGGGGGAGCCATGTCTACCTCCTTATTAGCCCCTATCTCGGCTGCTTTGTCTGCTAGACGATTTCCTCGTGCTGTAAGGCTGTCCCTTCTGGTGTCCTTTGCAGTGGGGAACTGTAACTTCTTCTGGAAGGCAGACGGCCTCCGAGAGCCTTAGCGCTTCCTCCTTGTTTTGATGGTCTTCTCCGACGCGGTGAGGAGGCCCCTCTCTTTGTAGATGGGCCCCTGTATGTGTACAGTAGCAAAGGCGTATCGGGAGTCGGTCGGCTCGCTTGTCCTTGCTAATGGCGAGGGCTCGGATTCAGGCCTGTCACTGCACACCCTGCCTTTTGAACGCCCTTTGTGATGAAACTGCTACCATCTCTGAACGAGGTGAGCTCTGGGCTCTGTAGGGCCTGGTCACGCAGATCTGGGCGGCTTGCGAATACTTTATCGGACGCCTCAGAACAGTCATGATCTGGTCTCCCTTCCTCAGAAGGTAGGAGAGCTGTGGGGTTCAGCGTCTGCACTGTTTTAAGAGTGACCCGTGGATTCTCATAGAGGAGCCCCTGGCATTGCGCTAGCCGAGAGTTGGAGAGGCATGAGAGCCATGACAGCATGAGGGACCTTGACATTTAGTTCTCGTGCCAGGGTGAGTTCATCTGCCTCCTTAATGAGGAGAACTGTGGCCGCTAGTGCCCTAAGCACGGTGGCCATCCTGCCACCACTGGGTCCAGCCTCAGCGACAGGTATGCTGCTGGCCTGTTGCCAAGGGCCAACGGTCTGTGTGAGAACCCCGAGGGCGCCCTTTTCCTTCTCATGCACAAAGAGACTAAAAGGCTTTTCTATATTCTGTAGGCCGAGGGCTGGTACCCCAAGGCGGCCTTTATCTCTAGGAAGGCGGCTTCGGCCTCCTCTGTCCGGACAGGGGGTTCTCGATCTGGCCCTACCAAGGGATTATAGAGGAGTCTTGCTATTGCCGAGAATCTGGGAATCCAGATTCGGCAGAATGCCACAGCCCCCAGGAATTCTCATAGCCCCCTCTGAGTTGGGGGCTGGGGTACAGAGGTGAGGGCCTCCTTTGGCTCCGGCCCTAGAGCTCTTTTTCCTTGGGGGAGGAGGAAGCCTAAGTTTCGGGCTTGCTGTTGGCAGATCTGCGCCTTTTTGCATGAGACCCGATACCCTGAGCCTGACAGGAATTGGAGGAGGGCCCTTGTGCCCTCCGTACAATGCTCCCAGGTATTGCTGGCAAGGAGGTCATCCACACCCTGGAGAAGGGTGCAGCGTGGCGCCTCCGCTGGAAAGCCGGAGAGGTCTCCGGCCAGTACCTCCCCAAAGAGGGAAAGCGAGTTTTTCTTTTCTTTTAATATTTTATTTATTTTTGAGAGAGAGATAGAGACAGCGTGAGCAGGGGAGGGTCAGAGAGAGAGGGAGACACAGAATCTGAAACAGGCTCCAGGCTATGAGCTAGTTGTCAGCACAGAGCCTGATGCGGAGCTCAAACCCATGAGCCGCGAGATCATGACCTGAGCTGAAGCCGGATGCTTAACCGACTGAGCCACCCAGGCGCCCTGAGGTGAGTTTTTCTGATGCCCTGTGTCTGGTTTGGTCCATTGGAAGGCAAACAAGGGTTGGCTCAGTAAGGGGGAGGGGCGGGGCAAGCGGAGGCAAAAGAGGGGATCCTTTAAATCTAGGCAGGTAACCAGCTGGCAGAGCCTGGCATCTGGCTGAGGAGTGTGTACGGGTTCAAGACCACAGGATGCAAAGCTTGAACTTGTCAGTACCCTCCTCCCAGCTTCCTGACTGGCAAGCCAGACCGAGTGGCACATTCACACTCACATACACACCGGAGGTTATTATGTTCCCTCCCACAGAATTTCTACCTGTGAGATCACTGCGGTCTGGGAGAGTGATCAGGTCCCCCTTCCACGACTATGGGTGGGCCAGACAGGACAGATTTAGGGCCCTGGCCTTACATGTTTCCAATGTCAGATCCAGATCCTCACCTGCCAAGTCTCCTCGAGTCTGGTGGGAACAGCAGAGGCGACGGAGCCGGAGGCTGCAGAAATTCAGGTAGGGCGCGCCTTCCCCGTTGCGACTCCTCGTTCTGTCACCGCCTCGCAGGTTCCCCAAACCGGTGGCAACAACGGGCCAGCGCGGTTGGGTTTCCCCGCTCAGGGGACCAAACGTCCCGGAACCTGGTCTGGATCACCCGGCGGAAGAACCAGGCGGCACTCGGAGATCTTGGAAGGCAGGAGGTTGATTTCACAGCCGCAGGCTCGGAGGAGATCAACTCCCAGCGGAAGCAGAGGCGACAATTTATAGCCTGTTACTTCCGCCTTCCGCATCAGTGCGCGCGCCAAGCAGGGCGGGAAGAAGAACCCGGAAGGGGAGTCTTCGGGCTGGGACAGGAGTTTTCCCTGTCAGTCTGTCCACTCCTGCCAGCCATCTTATAACGGATTTTCTCCTATCAGTGCTGCCCTTGCCATCAAGCGCTAGGTTTATTTTCCCCTCCACGTGATGCTGTGGGGAGGTGGGCCTTGCTTTGACCAAGGAAATGTGGGAGAAGTGACACCGTGCGGGTTCCGGGCCCAGTATCTAGGCGGCTGCGTCCTGCTGTAAAGAAGCTCCAGATAGATTACTGGATGAGAAGCCACATGGGGAAGGACGGGACACGCAGAGGAGCCCGAGGTACCAGACTCCTTCAGAGTGAAGCCTTCTGGGACCTTCCCACCCCACCGAGCCACCATCTGGATGCCGGTGAGTGAGCGACCCTGGCTTGTGCCACATGAAGCAGAAGAACACAGATCAGCTTTAACACTGTCCGTATTCACAGAACCCAGAGCATCGTGAAAAATCTAGTTTGTGGTCATAAGCGGTGATGCTTTGGGGGGGGGGGTGTTCCTCATCCAGCAGTAAGTAACTGAACGTTTACCATATGGTTTTGGCAGCTATATTTAAGGGGGTTTTACTCCAATTTTCTAAAATAGATTGTTTTAAAGAATTGCTTTTAAGTTTACTTATTTATTTTGAGAGAGAGACAGAGCACGAGTGGGGGATAGGCAGAGAGAGAAGGAGACACAGAATCTGAAGCAGGCTCCAGGCTCTGAGCTATCAGCACAGAGCCCTATGCGGGGTTGAATCCACGAATTGTGAGGTCATGACCTGAGCTGAAGTCAGATGCTTAATCCACTGAGCCACCCAGGCCCCCTAAAATAGATTTTTGACCATAAATAGGAGTGGAAATTTACTAAGTGATTTGTTTCTGCCTTTATTGAAATGGCCATATGATTCGTTCTCTTCTTTAAGTCCAGTCATCTTTAATTTGCTATGAATTTTTTTGTGGTTTTTCACCAGAGGTCTCACACATCTTTCATTAAGTTTATTCCTAAATATTTTGTTTTTCTGATACTATTATAAATGGTGTCCTAAAATTATTTACTTTCCAATTATTTGTGACAGCATATACAAATACAATTTTTTAAAATGTTTACTTATTTTTGAGAGAGAGAGAGAGAGAGAGAGAGAGAGCAAATGCATGTAAGCACGGGAGAGGCAGACAGAGGATCCAAAGTGGGCTTTGTGCTGACAAGCAGGGAGACTGATGGGGAACTCGAACTCAGGAATTGTGAGATTGTGATCTGAACCAAAGTCAGATGCTTTAACCTACTGAGCCACCCAGGTGCCTCCGAATAAAATTGATTCTTTAAAAAATTTTTTTTAAATGTTTTATTTATTTCTGAGAGAGAGAGAGAGAGACAGACAGACAGACAGCGAATCTGAAACAGGCTCCAGGCTCTGAGCTGGCAGTCAGCACAGAGCCTGACGTGGGGCTCAAACCCACGAACCATGAGATCATGACCTGAGCCGAAGTCCGACGCTCAACCGACTGAGCCACACAGGCGCCCCTAAAATTGGTTCTTATATACTGACCTTGCATTCTGTGGCTTTGCTAAGCTCACTTATACATTTTAGTAATATTTCGATGATTCCTTAGGATTTTCTATGTACATAATCATATTGTCTACACCTAGAAGTGGCTTAATGCGTTTTCTTGCTTTATTGAAGTTGCTATGACTTCTAAAACAATGATGACTAGAACTGGTAAAAGTTAATATCCTTGCCTTGTTCTTGCTCCTAGAGGGAAAATACTTCTTTTTCATCACTAAGTACCATGTAAACTTTAGGTTTTTCATGGATGCCCTTTATCAAGTCGAGAAAGTTGCCTTCTAGTCATAATTTGCTGAAAGTTTTTGTTATGAATAGATAGTGAATTTTGTCAAGTAGTTTTTCTTCATTGATGAGACCATCACATATCTCTTCTCTTTTATTCTGTTAATGGGGTGAATTATTACAGTGTGATTGGCAGCTTCTAAGATGGTCTCCAGAAGACCCCCCCTCCTCTTGGTCCTTGTGTTTTTGTGTAATTCCCTCTCCTGAGAATGGCCTGGACTTTGTGATTCTCTTATAATGAATACACTGCAGGAGAGGTGGGAGCAGGGGGCCGCTGAGATTAGGTTATAAGAAGACCGGGGCTTCCATCCTGGGTGGATTCTCTACTTACCTGCTCTGAGGAAAGCCAGCTGCCATAATGTGAGCTAACTGTGGAGACGTCCACATGGCATGGAATGGAGGGGGGCCTTTGGCCAATAGCTGAAGAAGAACTGAGGGCTTGAGTCCAACAGCCCATAAGGACTTGAACCTTGCTAATAACCACATGGGTGATTTTTGGAAGCAAATCCTTTCCCAGATATTCAGATGAGACCACCATCTTGGCTAATCCCTTGACTGTAGCCTCAACAGAGACCCTGTGCCAGAGAACCCACTTAAAGAGCATCTGGATTCTGCACCCACAGACATAATGAGAAACTAAAGGTTCATTGCCAAATTTTGGGGGTGATTTCTTTATGCAGCAGTAGATAACTAATATATTCATTGATTACTTTTTGAATGTGAAATAAATCTTGCATTCCTGGGCTAAACTCCACTTGGCCATGATACCTTTTCCTTTTATATTTTGTTGGATTTCATTTAGTAATATTTTGTTAAGGATTTTTGTGTCTAGGCTCATGAGGGATATGGTCTGTATTTCTTTGGTAACGTCTTGGTCAGCTTTTGATATTAGAACCACGCTAGCCTCGTGAAATGAAATCTCTCCTCCTCTGTTTTTTGAAAGAGTTTATGTAAGATTAATATTATTCCTTCCTTAAATGTTTGCTAGAATTCACCAGTAAGCCTGCAGGTTTCTCCTAAGAAGCCTCTTTTCCCTCCTAATTATAAATTCAATGATCTTATAGATATACGACTATACAGATTTCGTTTTTTCTTTCTTTCTTTCTTTTTTGATGTTTTTTTTCTTTCTTTCTCTTTTTAAAAATGTTTAAAAATGTTTTATTTCTTTCTGAGAGAGAGAGAGACAGCATGAGCAGGGGAGGGTCAGAGAGAGAGGGAGACACAGAATCCAAAGCAGGCTCCAGGCTCTGAGCTGGCAGTCAGCACAAAGCCTGACGCGGGACTGGAACCCACGAACCGTGAGATCATGACCTGAGCCCAAGTCAGCTGCTTAACCGACTGAGCCACCCAGGCGCCCCTGTTTTATTTATTTCTGAGAGAGAGAGAGAGAGAGACAGTGTGAGCAGGAGAGGGTCAGAGAGAGAGGGAGATACAGAATGTGAAACAGCCTTCAGGCTCTGAGCTAGCTGTCAGCACAGAGCCCGATGCGGGACTCGAGCCCACGAACCGTGAGATAATGACCTGAGCCGATTGGATGCTTAACCAACTGAACCATCCAGGCACCCCTACAGATTTTGTTTTTTCTTAGGTCGCTTTTCCCCTTCTCCAGCTTTAAAGATCAGAAACAAAAATGCATGGCCTGACTGTCAAAAGAAGAGGAACCATGGCATAGTAAGAAGCTGCTTCGCACGACAGGACTACGCGATTTAAAAGGAACACGTTGGGTAGAAATGCATTCGTAGAGAAGAGTTCAAGAGACCAAGAAAAGGGTGGGAAAAGGCTGCCTGGATGAGAAAATTCTGTTGGAACAGAAGAGTAAGAAAGTTTTAGGGGTTTTCGGGTACTAGAGAGTGGAGAGCAGAGACTTCACTAAGTTTTTAGGGCCTAAGTTGGATTCCCTGGTATCTGTGAGAGAGACATGCATTCAGATTAGTATTTGTGTCTGCATCGAGCTGAAGTTTGATGGCCCTTTGGGACACCACCAGGAGTGCTTGGGACACAGGGCAGGAGGGATGAGTGCTTTGTAAGCATTATGATTCCTTTGCTCTGTCTAACTTCCTAAACTTCATTAAAGTGACCTTTTCCCCTGAACTTCTATAAAATAACCTACATACTTTGCTCCACTTGCTTCATAATATATTGCTCCAAAGCTTAGGGACACACGAGAAGCACCTGTTACTGTGCTCATGGAGTCTTTGGGTCAAGAATTTGAACAGGACATAGTAAGGGCAAGTGGTCTCTGCCCCACTTCTCTCCAGCACCCCCTTTTCTCTGCCCTCTGTGCCTTCCACACTCTGTCGGTTGAAAGTCTCTTAACTTCTTTCACACACTCTGCATATCTCTTGCCGAGGCCCTTTCTCCACACACGTGCTTCCCAGCCTAACTGTTCTTCTCATATCTCCGTGGCTGATCAGCTCCCACTTTCTTTTGGGGGCCAGTTAGATGGGGTCCTCCCTGCCCTTCTGCACCTGTTTTAACCGCCCTTCCTCTGGGCTCCCGTCATTCTCTGTGCTTCTCCATCATAGAACACATCACGTGCAACTTCCTGAGTCTAATGTCTGACTCCCCAGCCAGGGTGCTGGCTCCGTGAAGCCGGAGATGGCCTCTGTCTGTTCAAGGGCTGTCCCCAGCACCTGGCACGGGGCTCAGTTATTTGTTGAATGCATTAATGGACAAGGCAGGCATTGTTATTTCCATTTTACAGAGGTGAAAACTGGGTGGAACAGAGTAAGAGCCAGTCCAAGTCATGGCCAGGTTCTTGACAAAGCTGAGTCTCAGTCACATCACGTCACACCCAACACTCTCATGCATCCTAGAAACAGATCAACAAGCAGGTTTATGGAGACGCCCCCCCCCCCACCCCCCAGACCCCAGCTTTGGGGCTTGGTACTCTGCCAGCTGTGTCCACTGTCTTTCCAACCTGGACACGCCAGGCAGCTGGGGCCATGGTTGAAAAAGCCCTGGCTACTAACTGATATTTATCCGTTTGCCCATGAACCAGCCAGCAGGAGTTTGTGCCGTGAACTTGTCTTGGTGATCGCAGCCAGAGAGATGCAAGTTCTATTCCCATGATTAAGGGTCCTTTACAACTAACATATTGATTGTAATTAGGAAATGATGCATATGGAGGGCGCTGCGGAAAGTGCCAGGATGTAGAGACAATAGGCTTTTGTGAGACGAGGAGAGGGTGGCAATTCTGTCTTCCCGTGTTGCCAGCGTTCTTTTTCTCCACACAGAGCAGTGACAAATTGTTTTCTTTTTCTTTTCTTCCCTTTGGAAGAAAGTACCCACAAAGTACTTAAATCAGGAATAAAACAAGCCTGACAGCCAGATAGCTGGGTCACTCTGTCTCTTTAGCAGTTGCCATTCATGGGGGTTGAGTCAGTACCATTGTACCCCTGGACCCCAGACTGGACACTTCCAGATGCCTGGCTCTGAGGCAGGGGATGCTGGGAGGGGAGGCAGGGCTGGACCGGCCCTGGGCCTGTGAGGCGGTAACCAAGCAACAGGGCACCCAGGGCCATGTG